CGCGTCGGCGGTCAATACTCGGCCACCGATGGAAAGGCTCAGATCTGTAGCTTTGGCTGAGGTCACTATCTTTCGTCCCGAGGCTAGACTGACCTCGAGAGGATCGACAGCGGTGACTGCATGAACTCCGATGGCGTCGAGACACCGTCGGGAGATAAAGGTGTGCGTTGCTCTGGTATCGAATAACGCAAACACAGGAGCACATTAAGAACGATCATCCCGGACATTGTACCTGGTTGCTGTGCTGCCTCTGCCTGATCGACCGCGTAGACCCTGGCCTGCTGCCTTCCTCTCTGCTGCTGCTGCTGCTGCTGCGGTCTCTGTGCCTGCTGTCGTGGCTGCTGCGGCTGTGGCTGCTGCTGAAGCTTCTTCGGGCAACGACTCGCGAAGTGTCCCGGCTCCTGGCAAAAGTAGCAAATGTCCTGTCCAGCACGACACTCTCCCCTGTGAAGTCGGCCACAAGTCGGGCATGGTGGAATCTCCTGCAGCCTCCGTCGGGTCCTCTTGTCTGTCGGGGCACCCTTTCCTTTCCTTTTGTTGTTCTTTGGCGGCTGGGTAACTGGAAAAGCTGGTGGAACTGCGACTGGCTGAGCTGGGGCAGATGGCTGAGCACGATCACGAACGGCCTCCCTCCTAATGCTAGCGTCAACCTCCTGTGCAATAGAGACAGCTCGTGCATACGTCTGAGTCCCATGTCCCACAATGTTATGACGGACTGTTGGGTATAGTCCGTCAATGAACCGCTGAGCTCTTTGGGCCTCCGTGCGAACAAGATCCGGTGCGAAACCTGCAAGCCTGGTGAACTCACGCTCGTACTCATCGACAGTACAAGTGCCCTGCTGAAGCGTTAAAAACTGGCGCTCCATCTCTGCCCGATAGTAGGAAGGGTAGTACTTGTCGCGGACAAGATCCTTGAACATGTCCCATGTACAACCCGCCTTTTCACCGGGACGCATGCTCCAGTAGGCGTTCCACCAGAGCCTTGCGTCGCCAGTGAGTTGAAGCTGAGCGCAAACTACGCGAAACCTATCGGGGCATTCCATAACTTCGAAGATAAACTCCAACCCCTGAATCCATTCATCAACAATCCGGGGGTCGCCCTGACCTGAGAACTTCTCTGCGTGATAGTCGCGGAACTGAGCGACTACCGTCGCCTGGGTAGGACCTTGATGATCGGGCTCTCTACGTGGCGGCATCTGAACACTGAAAAAGATTTAACATTACTGAATATACGATAGCTTTACTGACTGATTATTAGGCACACAGATCTCTTGACGAGTTGCCAAAATTGGCCGATAATTACTGACGTGAAACCTGAAGAACTCTAGAGTCATCTCGGAAAAATCCTAACGTCTAGAGTCATATCTGAATGCCTGAATACTAGAGTCATGTCCAACCTCTAGAGTCTGAATCTGATTCGAGCATCTTAACTAAAGTTCTGATCCTCAATTCTGAGCATAGACAAAGTAATATGTTTATAATAACTGAAAAACTGAATTGCAACAGCATTTACCTGTCGTCGGCGGGGCGTGAACATGACGGTTCGGGTTTTACTGAAAAATTTCGGACTGTAAACTTTTCTGAAAACTTTTCTGAAAAATTACTTACTGAACAACTTATCTGACTGAAAACTTATCAGAGACGCAGAAACGGGCTCTGATACCAATTGTAACACCCCACCTTACTAGACAAATCAGAGTAGCGCATTTAATCGCAAAGTCTTTGAAAAACTAAACATTTTTACTTTGCGAGACTGATTTGGGGTACTACCGTGAAAATCTTTACTTAACTTTAGAAAACTGTTGTTTTAACTTATTAAAAACGTCCGGTTATTAAAAAAAAACTGTGTTATCTAAAAAGTTTATCAAAATATGATAAAACTGTCAAAATCATCAAAGCATCGTCAAGAGATCGTCAAAAGTAAGCGGAAGCGTAAATTTTAGTTATACAGTCCAAAACACATATATATAAATGTCCTGAAAGTCCCGATCTGCTTCCG